CTCATAAAGTATTTTTCTGAGGTCTGTCTTATCAGGTAAATTACTGTACACAGTGTATTCATTAATTTTCATTTTCATGTAGTAAAGGCTCTATGCCTTCATAAAGGACGTACTTTTCCTTTGTTTAAGGGTATTCGGGCAGTTTATTCTCTGTTATATTCTCAAGTAAACAATACATACAAGTACAGTACAGTATTTTCTGAGGAAATACTCGCACTTATTTTTTTTAACCCCATTCCTGATAACCCGGCATTTTCACAAACTCGGCCACCCTTCAGTCCACATTAGGCCGAGTTTCGAGGTTCTACTGTACTGTACCTTTTTATTTTTACAGTTTTGTAATGTTACAGTCCTTAATTTGTAAATTTGAATCATGTTTAGAATATATATAATAATTAATTTATTATTTAATTTGTATTAGTTAAATGTATCATTTAATTAACTTAATAAATAAAATAATAAAACACTGAGAGATAATTTAATATAATTATAAAAACTTTTCCAGCACTGACCATCCATTTTGAAAGCCAGTGTATTCCTACTTCTCTAGCATGGTTTGCTCATTATCTTCCAACTTGGTTGTTAAAATTGGCTGTGGTTGGGACATTTGTGATTGAAATTGCCATCCCATTCCTATTTTTCATTCCTATACACTCTTTGCGTGTATTCAGTTTTCATGCTCAAGTATATATTTTAATTTATAAAATTGTTAATTTTTATAATTTTATTGTTAACTTTTTAGCTTTATTAACTTTTGTTTTTTATATTTGTAGATGTTGTTTCAAGTTTCTATAATATTAACTGGCAATTATAATTTTTTCAATTTACTAACTATGGCGTTATGTCTGTCATTAGTGGATGATGATTTTCTACTTCATGCAGTTCAGGGTAGATCAAATAGTAAGTTAATAGGTTTATCAACTTTTTTCTTACTTATTTATTAGAAATTAATCAAATTTATTAGTTGTTAAAGGTGTTAGTGGAACAGCATTCAGATGGATGAGATACTTTTTTACTCAAGTAATTGAGATATTGATATATGGCGGCCTTATATATTGGACCATTCAATTTTTTAATCTTCGTATTTTGTCAGATTGGACCATTGAATCCAAAATAGGTTAGGAGCATTTTTTGTTTTTTAATTATTATATGCAAAACAACTTACAAGAATTTTTTGCAGCATTTAGTAAAAGAGAGTTTTTAGTGTTCATTAAAAAAATACTGCCTGTAACAATATGGATAGGTGTACTTTCTTTGTCTGCAAATATATTAATTGCCCTCTACAGGTAAGTTTGTTTGTTCTGTTTTAAAGAAATTTTTACTATTACATTTGCATTAGTTTAATATTAAATAAAAATTGTTTTAGATCCATTGTTAATGGAAGAGGATTTGTTGGTAAAGTCATATTTATTATTGGAACTTTGTTTTTTAGTGGTGTGGCAGTATGGATGTTTAGTATCAGCTTGGTAAGTTGATGTATTTTATACCATGATATCATAAATGGTACATAAGTGTAAAGAAATAAAACTAACTTTAAACAAATCTTTCAATGCAAATTAAATCTATATTTAATATATAAAGAAGAAAGTTTGTTAGTTTGTTTTTTATAAATTTTGACATGGTTTGAGCAAATGCAATGAAACTTTTCAGGAACTGAAAAGGTCATTCAGGAGGCCAATGACTACTTTGATTGAATTAACTTCCACCCACCCACATTAGGCTCCCCTTTCTACCATTAGGATGATGGTGTTTAAAAAGGAAAATTAGTTAATACAAAATATGCTTTTAGGGGTTTTCAAGAGTTCTGAATTTAAATATTTGGTCCATTTTTTATGAAGTTTGATTGGTTCCCTGAGTACCATTTCTTATTCAGTTGTGAATGATGATACATCAGAGTTAACTTAAGAAAAAATTTAGATGTCTTGAATTCTTGTGCAAGCAGAAGTCAATGATTAGAAAATAATCATTGACTTCTGCTTGAATTCATTGACTTTGGTTGGAAAATACCATTTCTTGTCTCTGTGACCAATGAAATTTTACTATTTCATATGATTCATGATCATGATAAATCATAATATTGGTAGTCTAAAATAACTAAAATAAAGAAAATGAGCCCCTCTGTCACTTTTCTGCTCCAGCATGAGGTCATACAGGTTATCATCATCATCTATAAAATGTTATGTATGGTGTCTTTTCCAAATAGTGAGAATATCATCCACATATCTACAGAGGTTCATTTTCTGGACATAAAACACACAATTAGGAATGGCAGATATTGTCACTGCATTTACAGAAAGCCATCATACAATCCTTTGTTCATTCCTTGCTCTTCCCATGAGCCACTCAACTATAAGCTAGCAGCGTTTAAGGTGTTGATCAGGAGAGCCTACACACACTGCATGGCTGTCCATGACAGAATAAAGGATTGAATTTGAGGGTTGAATTTCACACCGATCTTTGGTTAAACAAGAGAAGAACAAATTATCACACAGGCGTTAATTACATTTAAATATCGCTATATTTGCAAGTGCTTTTGACATGCTATAAAACATTATCCTCAGGCAGACACAATCTCATAAAATTTTCAAACAAAGATTTCAAATTAAAACTAACGGCATTAATCCTTTAGAACAAAACTAAACGTAGAACAACTAAATGTAAAGAATTTAAATTGACACACACATGGTGACAATGCACATGTGCCATAATGTGTTGAATAGGCACCGAGAAGGAATTGGATATATTGTGTTCCTTGGTTTACAATTTGGTTATAAATGTAGGACCATTAAAGCATGCATTGATGCTTTCCAACTAAAAATGAACTGTTCCAGAGCAAGTCACAGACAGAACGCCTAATCATTATCTGTGTTTCTTTCCAACAGAACATACATTAACCCTTTAATACCTTGGTTTTTGTTGACTTTGGTTATAGTCGTTTTCAGTTTTCTTTGATTTTTTTAATGAAAAATTTGCCTTGGATTTCGTCGGTGTGCCCATGTGACCTCGCTGCAAATTTGCAAAAACAAAGGGCGACCCATGCTTTTTCCTGCTCAGTTTAGCATTGTTTCTTGTGGTGTTAGCATTACTCTGAGCGTCTAGCCAAACAACTGCTCTATGACAGCTGGATGGCCGAGCAGTCAAGGTGGCAGCCTACTGCTCTGGAGGTTCCTGAGATCGACTGCAGAAGAGAAAAATGTTCCTAGGAATTTTTCAGAAAGTGGTCCATCTGGATATATCAGGCCCTGTCCCTCTCCACCTGACTGCCCTATTGTGGGCTTGGCCGAACCCATAATGGGTTTGCTAAAAGAGGTCCTCTTAGTGCCCACAGGGCAGAGAGAGTTTAAAAAAAGCCAAAGAATTGCATTACATTTCTTTCATTTTAGCTTTATCATGGAACCAAAGAAAGTTTCCATAGCCAGCAGCCCTTCGAATGCCATGTTAAATGTTCATTTATTTACATTAGTCTTTTATATTCATTTTATATTAATTTCTTATTGTGTTTTAGTATTAAACACTATATTTATTCTCTATAAAATGTGTTTTTTATCTGTATTTTGGAGTGTGTAGAACGAATTAATTGAATTTACATTGATTCATATGGAAATAATTGCCATGGTTTTCATCAGTTTTGGATTTTGCCAATTGTTTTTGGACGGATTATCAACGAAAACCAAGGTATCACTGTATTTAAGGAGATTGGCAACACCATAGGGTGTAGCATTGCTTACAGGAGAAACAGCACAGTTTGTAGAATGTTGAGAGATGATAATGATCCTCCAGACATGGTGTAGGTCTCAGGTACACCATACATTTAATGGACCAGAGGTTATGATACAACCTTTGCTACATCAGGGCCACCTTGAGATCCCTACTACAGCATTTAAAAGAATACCAGGATGACATCAGGAAATCTAACCCAGCTACTGCATTAGCAGCATTTGCTATTACTAATCAGGGATCTACAAGTGTTGAATGGGACCAAGCTAGAATTATCCAAAAAATTGGAATCTCCAACATATATGATATACAGAAGCCTTTCATATCCACAATTCCCTTGTGTCATGATCATTCTGTCGACTTCAAGGATGTTAACTCTTGGCAGCATGGAAGTCCTTTTTTGAATACCCACTGTGTAAGTAACTTGAAGCACTATGGATGGCTATGGCATGGACAGTTTAAATTTTTAGTTTTGTATTTATTGTAGTTATCTATTTGCTTGGTATTGATTTTACTTTATTTTTATATTATTTTTGAATTAGTTCAAAGTTGTCCATTCTTTTTGCAGTTTGTTAACGGTCCAATTGCAATGATTGAATTTGAATTCTAGAATGTGAGTGTTTAAACTTCCTTATGGCATTCTGTTATGTATTCTATTTGAGGAAGATTATTGAAAATAATCAAAAACATTTTAGTTATTAAAGTATTGCTGCATTTTAACATTGTATGTGTTTGATTTTTTTACATCAATCAAAAGTGTACATTGAGCTGACTATAGAAATGAGAATTTAGACCTTAATCATGGTACATAGAGAATAATTGTGTGTCTTGTGTTTATGAAAATTTTTAACAATTATAAGGTGCAATAACAATATAATTGACATAATTGTTAGAAAAGTGATTATTGCATTTGTCCTCACCAAAAAGTGATCAAAGCAGAAAAATTATTACATTTTCTAGATATACAAGGCGCATTCCATAAGTAATGCGACCAATTTTTTCATGGCACGATGATATGCCGTATCTAGTTCTGACTTGCTGCGCTAGGTGGCGTGGGGTGTTAGCTTCAAAACTCACTCTGTCTCATTTGCTTCCAAGCTGCTGGTGGGTGAGGACGTTCGTTCCCGTGAACCCCATTTTGAGTTTATGTAACCCTGCACAATTTTGTGGAGCAACGTTATGCTATCAAATTTTGCGTTAAACTTCGGAAGTCTGCCACCGAAACCTTTACATTAATTCAGCAGGCCTTTGGGAGTGATTCTTGTCCAAATCACAAGTTTTCTGATGGCACAAGTCACCCTGCCCCAAGAAGGCACGCATGAGCAAGTCCAGGAGCAAAACCATGCTCATTGTCTTCTTTGACGTCAGAGGCATTATCCACCACAAATTCGTACCTGCTGGGACCACTGTAAATGCAGTTTTCTACTTGTAAGTGCTCAAAAGACTGAAAAGGAGGGACGTGCGCTGCCAAAGTGACATCAAGGACACGTGGAAACTTCATCATGACAATGTGCCGAGCTACAGCGTCTTCATTGTCAACAATTTCCTGGCCAGGACCCACACCCTATTGGTTCCACAGCCATCTTACAGTCCTGACCTGGCTCCTGCTGACTTTTTTTTTTCCTTGCTTAAAAGGGGCCATGAAAGGGAAACATGAAGGCTTATGTTACATCAGCTCTAAAGGACATTCCAGAGAAGGCCTTCCAGACCTGGAAACACTGCCTTCACAAGTGTATCGATGCAGGATGGTGCTATTTCGAATATTTTTGACTAATTGTAAAAATATGTTCAATAAATGATTTTTTATGAATTTGGTCGCATTACTGATGGAATGCACCTTGTATGAATGTTATTTCAATTCCTTTGTCAATCTGCAAAAACAGAAATTAGTGTTTATAGCACATTATGTTAATTTTTAATTACAAATGAGCAATTATTTATTGTGACATTGTCACAATGCTGGGCTGCAATTTTTAATTTATTTAATTTAAAATATATGCTCTCCATCTCAAATTAGTGGTGGCTTGCCCCTGTACATCATACTTTTCCTTTACCAATAGAGTTGTGCTGGTTATTTATCTAACATCTTTCAGGAGAAAATATTTGAATTGAAATAATGTGACTTCTTGTGCAAACTGGCAGTTCATATATAGTTAGTCTGGGCCTCCTGCTCCTAAGGTTTTCATATCTGGTCTCGTCTTTCATCTATCTAACTCCATTCTTGAGATTATGGAAAGACAGACGACAGTAAGAATTTATAGGTCTATAATTTTTTCAAATTGCAGCCCAAAAATGATACCTTCACTATTTGTGGCCGACATTGATGAATGTTAACAGATTTGTGCAGAGTTTTTTAAGTTAACGAAGTTTTTTAAAAAACTTTCAATTTTTTTCTTGCTTTCAATTGATGTAAAATATCTACCCAATTCTAATCATTACTCTTTCACCTTCCTTGTTAGACCAAAGAGAAGTTACACTCAAAAGATATCAGAAAAGTGATAATTTGACTTTTAATATTTTTGTACAAACCCTTCTTATTTTCCACAGTGTAATAATTACAATCAATATAATTTAAATTAGAGACAATCCCACAAACACTAATAATGAAAGTTTATTACATTACAGTTAATGAATATATGAAATATTTTTCAAATTAATCTAATAATACAATGTGTTGTATTATGTGTCTATATCTAATGTATATATGTACATAAAGTAACATTTTTAGTTTTATTTCCTATGTCATACAGATTTTAGTAAAGAAAATTCTTTTGAATAAATATATAATAAGCATCCAATATTCTCTGCAGATTCCACATACAATAATTGATAGGAGCAGCCAGCAGAATCTTTGGCCAGTTGTTCGAACTTGGCATTCTCGAGTTGACAAATTTAATCTGGTAAATTCTTATGGACTTTTTCGAAGGTAATAATAAATTTTTATATTGAAGTGAAATTACAGTAGAATCTCATTTCAACAGATCGCGGAACGATGGATTTCTCGGAATAATGGATTTATTTTCCAGATCCTGCCAAATCAATGTAATTTTTACCTCCTTTTAGTGGATCTGTATGGAATAATGGATTTTTCTACAACAAATCTAATGTAAACTTTGCATTTTTTCAACATTTAGGTAATATTTGGGATATTTGTTTCTGGAAATTTGTAAAGTTTGATGATGACTTGTTACATTTGAGATACGTACAATTGAAGAATTGTATGAAGAGAGTCAGCTGACTGATACAATTGAGGAGGCGTCACCTAGTGAACACTATCGCTGGTCCAAGTGTAGTGTTGAAATTTAGCAAGGCCGTCAAGTATTTCCAAGTCATGAAAACCTTCCTGATGAACAAACAGGATGTACTGTACACAACATTGCTAATATCAAGTGATGTTGTATTCAATATATAGAAAAGTGGCATTGAAAGAAACCAAGATGAGCGAGTTTTTTAACAAATCATGAAGTTTGCTTGACTTCAAAGTGCTAATGAGCATATGTAATTAGCCTCTTTTTATGCTTACAGTATGTAGTTTTTGTCAACTTTGTTGTACACATGTATGACATAATATACATGTAACAAGCATACATGTTTCTATAGGTTAAAGAATAGATATCTCAAGAGACTGAATAATTTCACATACTGGTATTTCTTATATGTAGGGGTTAAAAAACAAAAATTTTTTTGAATAACTGATAATTTCCTGGGTGTGTCGGAAATTGTTGTTTGTGATATAATGGATTCTTAGAACAACGGATGATTTTCGGAAGCCCAAGCGAACTGTTAAAACAAGATTCTTCTGTAATGTTGTAAAATGTGACTACATATATCTTAAAATATAATTTAATTATTTTATTCTTTACTTTTGTATATAATCTTACCAACTGTTGTACTAATTATTTTCTTTCCTTGTAGAATGACTGGAGTTGGAGGAAGGCCAGAACTGGTTGTAGAAGGAAGTAATTCTTTACATTCAGGGTGGAATGAATATCATTTTCTGTATAAACCTGGAAATTTGACATGCAAACCAGCATTCATCAGTGAGTACAATAGTAGTATTATCTACATAAAAAAAATCTTTCATAAAATTTCTGCATTTTAGTTCCACATCAACCTAGATTAGACTGGCAAATGTGGTTTGCTGCTCTTGGCTCTTATTCAGAAAATCCTTGGTTTGTTAGTCTTGTTTACAGATTGCTTCATCATCAACAAGAAGGTAAAAGTAATTTTTATATATAGATTTTCTTTTATTAAAATGTTTAGTAACCTTTTTAATTTACAAATTTTAGTGCTTGATCTCATGGATAAAGAATTACTTCCATTCCAGAAGCAACCACCCAGATATATAAGAGCAACATTATATAAATATAAATACACAGATTTTACTGTGATCAGAGAGTGAGTGTTTCAGTTCAGAGAAGTTAATATTTTGTTGACTTTACTTAAATTTAATATAATTTTCAGAAAAAAGAATGGTAATTGGTGGAAGAGAGATTCAGGAACAGAATATTTTCCACCATTGAGCAAAGATGATAGATCACTAATTAATTTTATTAAGGCTAAAGACATACCAGTGGTAAGTAGAAATACAAGAAGTTTTTTCAAAATTAACTTTCTTCTTTAGCAGAGACTTCTTCTTCCACTTTTCTATCTATTGAATACAACACAAAATAGAATTTTTCACTATTTTTATAAATATGAAACTAATCATCACAGCTTATAAAACAAAGTATCAATTTTATTTGAATAATAACTGCAGCTACTATTTTAAACTACATACTTTTTTTTTAGTTATTATTTTCTTTGCACATACCCATTCAATGTCCATTTATTAATAAAGTATTAAATATTTATGAGTGTTTAATTTTTAAAACAAATTATATTTGAAATGGCATAATTCTTCATAATAAGTGTTCTATATACTAATAATAAAATAATTAAACAAATAGAAAATGAAGCTGTACTGTAAATTGTATATTTTTACCTATTATACTAATATAGTACCTACCTGCCATAGTTTAGCAAACTTTAATAAGCTTTTGTTAAACTATTACAGGTAGGTATTGTATTTATTTATATAGTGGTGCCTTGTATTTTGATTTTATGCTAGAAGGCCATTCAAACCGAATCATTTGTAGCCTGATTAAATTTTTCTCATTACAAATAATGGAAAGTGAATTAATCCATTTCCAGATTCTAAACAATATCCACATTGATAAACTTAAAACAGAAAATACCCATAATTTAAGGTAAAAATAACACAAGTGAATGCCCTATTAATAAATTAAAACACAAAAATAATAAATAAAAATTACATAAATACTGTGCACTAAAATGACAGTGTACACCAGTAAATGCAATTTTCAATCTTTGTCATCTTAAACATGGCTGCCAAATCTGCCACACATGTACTACTTTCATGCTTTGCCATAAGTTCTTTTTTCACCTCAGTTTGTCAATACTACAACCTTCCTCTTAGACTTTGCTGCTTTTACACACTTCTCAGATGCCATGGTTAAGAAGTAAAGATTATATTGGGTTGAACAGAAAGTTTGTGTATTTTTAACAACTGTCATTATTGAACATAGATGTGTGATATAATTAGAATGTTTGTAAAATGTGAAATTGTATTCTTTATTCAGAAGCTTATTTTAAATTTTTTTACTTCACATTTTGTGTGAATAAAATCAAGTTGAAATGTCTTCAAGTGAAAAACATATCAGACATATTATGCTTTGAGTTTTGGAAAGGATATTGCCATACAAGCAGTAAAAAAATTTGTAATGTGTATGGGGAAGATGCTTCTAAACTTTCAACATGTCAACTGTGGTTTAAAAAGTTCCATTCAGGAAATTTTGAACTAAAAGATACAACACATAAGTGTCCAAAAGCTATTAACAAAGAAACATTGTTAAAAATTGATGAATAACATACAATATATATAACCAAACACACCAAAAATAAAGCACTGAAAACAAGCAGATGTAGTGCTTGAGCAAGAGTGCTTTGCACACAATAGATTGTGTTTATGCTTTGAGTGAATTTTTTTTCACTGCATATGCAATTTGAACTCTGAGGTGAATATGCTAAACAATTACCAGATTATATTAATTAATTTTTAAATAATTTGTCCTAGAGGGTTGTGTTAGGTGCCATCTCTTATTAAATTTAATAATTATAATTAAATTAAATAATTTAGAATATTCTGGAAGAAAAGAATCAGCCCAGAGAGGGACTAAAACCTGCAACTCCTGCTTACTGTGTGGATGTGTTGCCAGTTATGCTACCTGAGCCTCCAGTCTGATCTCCTTTTCCAGACATATATATAACCATCCTCATGGCACCGGCTGGGGACACCTTTAGCATCTTTGTCCTATAAACTCCTACTCATGGCACTTCACCGGCCATTGCTCAACCATGGTATGTATATGTAAACATTATATATATATGTGTGTGTGTATAAATATATACAAATATCTCTAAACACAATAAATCTGCATGGTAAGTGGGAGTTGTAGGTTTGAATCCCATTTCAGATCGATTCTTTTCTTCCAGAATATTCTAAATTATTTAATTTAATAAGAGATGATGCCTAACAGATCCCTCTAGGACAAATTATTTAGAAATTAATTAATATAATCATGGAAAAGTAGTCCAATATAATCTGGTAGCAGTTTGGCATATTAAAAATATCTCTAAACCCAATAAATTTGTATCTGAAATGAATTTTTGTCAAATTTAGTGTTTGAACTGTGAAACATTTGAAGTATGAGGAACCAATGTATTTGTTAAGGAAATTTACAATACATTATAAAAATTAAGTTTTTAAAAATGTCCGAAAAGTAAACATAGCTACTATTTGAGGGCAGTTATTTCAAGCCTTAAGAACAAATTACTATTTGAGGATGATTATTATTCAAATAAAATTGGTAACTGAAAGGAATATATTATATTGTTAATAAACTGGCTATTATTAATGCTGCTTTCAATAATTAATTTAATTATGAATTATAATTTTGCTTATAGGAAAAATCACTAACGATACGTGTTACAAATTTATTTGTGAAGAGGATACTGACCACAACAAGAAAACTGGCATCAATGTTTCATCCAACAACATTTATTTGGTCATTATTTTGTAGTGGAATAACCATAAAGATGATTTATCCTATTTTACAACTATTATAACTGTAAATTTTTACATTAATACCATATTGGGTATTGAAATTTCCATTCTGTTGCAATATTAAATTTCTTTTTTTGCAATTCTCTATCAATAACAACTGAAGTGAATTCTCTTGTATGATGATTTATCACATAAAATGAGAAGCTAGCCAATTTGTCCATGCATACTTACTGTTTGGAGTTATTTGTTTATGGAAACTTTCCTAAACTAATATCTCCAAAAATTTCATGCTGTACAGTCAACATATCTCATAATAAAGGATTTGAAATATGCAAAACAGTTTAAACTGAAACATGTCTTTCTCATGATAAACAAAAATAAGGATCATAATCCTTCAAATCAATGAAAACACAAAAAATAAATATATTTTTCTGGAGTCAAATGTTCATATATTTGTGTAAATTTAATCATTAATGCACACTTTTTTCATTCATCTTGAGCTAAAGTGTGTCAAAAAAAAGTGTGTTAAAAATCTAACATAAGATTATTAATTTTAATAAATAATAACAAAATTAATCACCAAGTTTAATTCATGATTTTACACTCATGAACAAAGTATGAAAAGTGGTGCCTTGTATTTNAAAAATTTTTTTCGGGGGCCCAAATGCCCAGTTTTTTTTTAACGCTATAAACCTTGCTCGAGTCAGACTCGAGCGTGGGTAGGAAGGGGTTTTAATGAAGAATTGATTGGTGTGTGATTTCTCATTCTCGGATCATTGGTCCAATTTTCTTTGACGAGACTGTGAACACCGACCAATACTTGTCCATATTTGACAAATTTGTGAAATAACTGGATGACTATGAACTTCAAGAAGGTTACTTCCAACAGGACGGGGCAATGTGCCAAACCTCTCATGCCAGTATGGAAGAGATCCGATCGTTTTTTGGAGACAGGGTGATCTTGAAAGATTGAGTGTGAGTTGTGGCGATTGAGGTGTGGCCACCTCAATCGCCTGATATAACTCCCCCAGATTTTTTCTATGGAGATATTTAAAGGGCAAGATGTATGCAAGCAAACCCAGGACCATCGAACAACTGAAAGCAAACATCGAGCATGAAATTGCTGCCATCTACAGTGACATGTTGCAGAGGACATTTTCAAGTATGGAGCATCGCATTTCCTTGTGCACAGATGTTTTCAGCACCTTTTGTAATGTGGACTTGTTTTCCAATAAATACAGGTATGTTCAGTTCTTACAGCTCACCTTTACATTCACACATTTGGGAGTAATTCATATTTTTAAAGTTGTACTCCTGAGTGTGACACCCTGTATTAGTGCTGAAATTTATATTAATGAGTGTTTAAAAAGTCTTCTTCCTTTTTTAAGAAAGCTTGGTGCATGGTGATCATAGTTTGTTTTTGCCAATTTGGCAAGTAATACACTAAGCAAGATCCACAGAAAGTTGCAACAGCATGGAATTGATTTTGTATCTAGAGACAAATCCACCAAACATATCACAATGATGACCAATAGAAATATTTTGGCCTCTTATAAAAAAAAATGCAGAGCAGCAAGACAATAAAAATTTTTCTCCTAAGTGGAAAAGAGCAGTCACAATGATTGAAGGAAACACTCAAAAATCTCAAGAAGAGCATTCAAAAGGAATTGAGCAAAACTTAAATGTTATTATTAAGTCATAAATGTATTTTTAAAAAAACAAACTTTTAAATAAAATTTTTCTGATTACATTATAAATAAGTTATTACAGTAGAACCTCGAAAACTCGGCTCTCGATAACCCGGCACTCCGGATAACTCGGGCACACCCTAGCAGATCAAAAAAATCCTTAGTTAATTAATTTTCATTATAGACAGCTTTATAAAAGTATAAAAGCTCTCATAAAGTATTTTTCTGAGGTCTGTCTTATCAGGTAAATTACTGTACACAGTGTATTCATTAATTTTCATTTTCATGTAGTAAAGGCTCTATGC